AACTCTAACATTCTAATATTAATTCCAACAAGTGAAGTGCAAGAATCCAAATTATTGAAGTCTACCTTATCACAACCCGCACACCCGATTACCTAAATATACATGAACTTACGGTTAAAGCTCAACAGCTGGCCTCTGTAGCTCAGTTGGTTAGAACGCTGCACCGGAATCGCAGGGCCGTAGGTTCAATTCCTACCAGAGGACCTTGTGCTGCATTTTTCGCAGTCGTTCCTGGTTAAGTCTTAAAATGTATATATTCTCACTTGGATTACAAACCCTAACATTCTAATATTAATTCCACCAAGTGAAGTGCAAGAATCCAAATTATTGAAGTCCACCTTATCACAACCCGCACACCCGATTACCTAAATATACATGAACTTATGGTTACAGCTCAACAGCTGGCCTCTGTATAGCTCAGTTGGTTAGAGCGCTGCACCGGAATCGCAGGGCCGTAGGTTCAATTCCTACCAGAGGACCTCGTGCTGCATTTTTCGCAGTCGTTCCTGTTTGGTCTTAAAATGTGTATATGCTCACTTGGATTACAAACCCTAACATTCTAATATTAATTCCAACAAGTGAAGTACAAGAATCCAAATTATTGAAGTCCACCTTATCACAACCCGCACACCTGATTATAGATATATATTTTATAAATATAGGTTTTGCGATCACTGATAACTTGATAATAATATAAAACAAAGCACTTCTATCTGCAACTTTTACAATCACTGATAACTTGATAATAATTTAATTAAACCAGTCAAGTTGTAGTTTAAATAGAGAATAATACATGGGTGCATGAAATACCAGATTTATTTCGAATGTTGATCATGAGTGTGCAGCGAACAAGTGGGCGCAGCGAACGAGTGAGATGTCATGTTCAACACGAAAAATAAATCTGGTATTTCCAACCACCCATGTATTTTTCTGTTTATTATATAAAGGACAGTCTTAAATGAAAAGCGATAATTTTTACAGAAAAGCGATAATTGAAAAGGCGATAATTTTCACATGTGAGATTATCATGAATAATTTCACATGTGAGATTATCATTTTTATCAGTGCTTGAAATCTCTGTAAAACACTACTTTATATAATAAAAATTCATAAATTTGAACCATGCTAGAGCATGACAACAGCAAAATGCTGTATAGTATGATGCACAATATTTTGGGAGGTGAAATACAGGAACAATAAATCACAGAGTGTTTGCTTGGAACTCACTGGGGGGGGGGGCAACACCCCTGATAATTGCTCATAAGGAATTTCAGGTAGATTTCCAGTGCACTGTTAGGTAAAATTAAGTAGATTTGCAGAAGATTTTTAGGAGAATTCAGGTAATTCTCAGGACATGAGAAAGTGAATTTGGAAAACAACTGTATTTTCGGAAAAATTATTATATGTCCTGAAAATTTTTTGTATATCTGGAAACGTTTTGGTCACCCCCCTACCCCCCTCTATCTAACCTCACACACACCCTGAGACGAAGTGCTCGCAACGGCACTGAGTATACATCTTTTGAAAACAGGCGAGGGGTTATTGCATGCATGTATTTCTTGTTTATTATTTTACTCTGCCTATCGCAGGACAATTTTACTCATTAAGGGCAGAGCGCTGGCGCTTAATGTGTTAACTGGCCTATCTGCCCATGTGTCTAGTTAACCCACTGAGTCGCATTGCGCCCTAATTTATTATTTTACTCTTTCTATCGCCAGACAATTTCACTCATTAAGGGGAGAGCACCGGTACTTAATGGGTTAACTGGCCTATCTGCCCATGTGTGTTGTTAACACATTGAGTCGCATTGTACCCTAATTTATTATTTTACTCTGTCTAACGCCAGATGATTTCACTCATTGAGGGGAGAGCACTGGTGCTTAATGGGTTAACTGGCCTATCTGCCCATGTGTGTTGTTAACACGTTGAGTCGCATTGTGCCCTAATTTATTATTTTACTCTGTCTAACACCAGATGATTTTACTCGTCAAGGTAAGGGCGCTGGTGCTTAATGGGTTAACTGGCCTATTTTCCCATGTTTATAGTTAACCCATTGAGTCGCAATGCGGCCTACTTTATTTTTTTTACTCTGTCACGAGAGGAGAACGCTGGTGCTTAATGGAGTTAATATTGAAAATATAGATCAACATTTGTCAAAACTAATGACTTGTGCAATCATTTCTGTAATAATTAAGATATTAAAATACCAAATATAATGCCTTATGGCTTATTTCAAATAGGGAGATGCTATGTGACTATGTCCATTGAAACTTAGTGGATTTGTTGTAGCTACATCAAATAAATGCTTGCCAAAAACATATTCAAGTCGATCGAAGAGAATGTAGAATTGCACTTTACATAAAATTCCCTAGTTATTGTACATTAATGAAAAAGCATTTGAAATGGAAATATATTGTTTTAATTTTATTTCTATGGTTTGTACTATGATATACATGGGCTATGCACTCTTTGGGAACCAGCAGGCCTGTTAGCAGAGCATTTCCATGATCTGGAACTTCAGTCCTAAAGACGATGTGTGGGTGCGAAGATGTTGTGTAGGAACAGAACTGTACAGATTAGAAATATGATTACTGATATTTTCCAAAGAAAAACTATTAATATATAGAAGAGGAAAGAAAGAGGCAATAAATAGCCCAAAGTATCTGTTGTACATTTGAAATTTAAAAATGGTGGGCTTATTAAGGATGAGATACAGAGAAAAACAGTAATGCAGAACTACATTCTCTTAAATTGTCAAAATTAAACGCTACCAATCTTGGTCTCGTTTCAAACTTGAATAACGAAAAGTCTAAAAATATAAAAACTATAAGAACAGATCAGCTAAGTCCAGTTATAAAATTAAATGATGAAGGAAAGCTGTCATTTTAGGAAAGTGTTCTTTTGGGGTGTGTAAACTCATGAGGTTACATGTTTCTGGTGAATCTGTGCTTGCTGCAGCAAAAATGTATTAATCGTTTGTGATATAATTCACAAGATGTCTATTTTAACCTGTGGGTTGCCAAACTTCTTAAATATGGAATTTGTTTTGTCTGACCAAGATATAATGAATACCACTAGTGACATGAGCATGTCCAATTAATATTTAACAAGAAATAAATGCATGCAGCAACCCCTAGCCTATATTTTCCAAACATTGATTTAACATGAACTATTAGCAATTGGCCAGCACTGAACGCAGGCTCACGTTGTGTCGAGTGGTGTCAAGGCAACATAATGTCACATTATATTTTAAATTTTTTTGAGTAATTTTGCAAGTGTTCATACCACAGAATGGGTCGTTCCAGAAAAGATCCACACTCCCCCCACGGAGGAAATTTCTGCCGTCCGGAGGGGGAGGGGAGACAAAATTGCTTCTGATAATAGTAAATGTATTAGGACATCCATAGGGGGTAGGGGGTTAACTTCCAATTTCCTCTGTGGGGGTGGTACGGATGTTTTCTGGAATGACCCAATCTACCATACATAATTTTAAACAAATAGATAGGTGAAGTAATTCAAACAAAATGATTTTGAACTTTATTACTCTACTCTGTCGAACGCCTATTCTACTCGTAAAGGGGAGAGCCCTGGTGCTTAATGGGTTAAATAAGATCGTATAGTTATATGTATATCATGTATTATGTTTTTATGCAGTCTCCCTGAATCACTTGTACCAGGCTATGGAAATTCATGTTTCCAATTTTGTATTTATTTTTCTTATGATGCAGTATACTGTAAATTTGAATAATATTTGTGTGCTTATCACTAGTGAGCTTATTTTTAGGAGAGTTTGTTGCGAGGCAGCATATATTTTGATATTTCAAAATATTACTGTATATTGGTATGTTATACTTAATGCTTTTGGAAGAGTTATAGGTGTCGGGTGTGATATACTTTTTCAGGTATTTTGTGTCTGATGTATGTAAGAGCTTTATTATTGGGTTTCTTGGTGAGACCTTATATCTTATGTGTCCTATAACCCTCTGTAATTGCGGATTATTGCATACATTCTAATTTTATTTTTTTTGTAGGAGCCGAAGATGCAAATGATACAATTTCAAACTTATCACAACCCATATTGTGGCCGTTGGCAGCGAACTTACTAGAATACGACTAGAAACTGTCAATCATACGTTATCGAGGGAAAGGATGAAAGTTCCATAACAAGCAACAGTTGTTTTGATGCAATTATCGCCTTATTGGCAAGTTTTTACATCTTCAATATTGAGTACTGCCACACGAAGAGCATCTTGTCTGCCTTGCAGACTATAGTAGTGCATGGGCAACACAGAATATGGCATATACAACTGCCAATGAGTGTCACAGCCCTCTTCAATGACTTGTCATGACTCATGAATATTAGTACTACAGTAATTTTACACTGTTTGAGAGTTATGTTGACATATGCTAACCCAAGTTAATGTTATTGATGGAATGTGTGTATTGTCTCACATCTCACCGAACTGTGGTAATGTATTAGAAATTATTCGTATTGCGTTCATGTTAACAACCGCGCCTGCTATTGCTATCACAAGTTGATTGCTCTTTAAAATTAGAATTGTAAACTTTCGGAGCCATATGGCATATATGTACGAATCTTTTGATGGTTCCCACATTTCGGTGAGATCCATAATACTGACTACTGTGCATGTATATTGTAATTTTAGTTATAGTATTGTGTTTATAATACAGAAATTGGAACATTGTTTATCTCAACTTATATTACAATAATTCATTCCAATCTTGGCCTGTTGGAGAAACTGTAATAATTTAATCAAGACCAAATAAACCCCAATATTTTTGCCTGATTCATTATATACATGTAGAATACGTCTACATGCAAGAGTGCAACCAAATCCACATGACTTTAAATGCTATAGAAAACGGCACCACCTAAAGCACCTCTTCATTGGGGCTGAGACTGCTCTCCTCTGAAAGGGCCAGAACAGCTCCGGTTAACAAAGTAGGGGTTAAATTGGCTTTTCTTTTGGATCTATAATGGCTCTGAAATTGGACCAAATTGACCCTTTGGGTGCTACAAACTACACCATGAAAAAAGCTATATTAGCTCCTTCGGCTCTAAAGCAGCTCTTCTTTGGGACTGAAACTGTGCTCTTCTGAGAGGGCCAAAATAGCTCTGGTTAAAAAAGTAGGGGTTAAATTGGCCTTTCTTATGGTCTATAATGGCTCAGAAATAGAACCATATTGGCCCTTTGGGTGCAAAAATACTACACCATTAGAAAAGCTATATCGGCTCCTTCGGTTCTAAAGCAGCTCTTCATTGGGGCTGAAACTACTCTGTAACTCAGTAGCCAAAACAGCTCCGGTTAGCGAGCCAAATCGACGCTTTTGGGGGTTCATTATGACCACAAATGGGAGCCAAATTAACTCCTCGAAATGCCAAAATAGCCCCCTAATTTTCTGAATTGGCCCCTATTGAAAGTTGAAATAGCGCCTGCTTTTGCCAAAACAGCTCCTACTAAAAGCTGAAACAGCCCTTACATTGGAAAGGCCAAATCACCCCTTAGGGGCCGCATTGTTATAGGTGCCATTTTGACCCCAAAAAAGACCTATTTTGCGGTCACCGTTTTGGCCCCATTTTTGGGGTCGTTTCAGCCCTTTTTAATTTACAGTGTTCGGCTCGACTGATAACACTTACCTCATACGACAAACTTAGCTGGAACAGGCAAAATGAAGAACAATGCAACAAGATATCAAAAAATATTAATCTTTTAAGAAAAGCCAAAGATTTTCTTGTCCTAGATACAGTACGCTACAAATTATGTATAACGCATTAGTTATGCCTCATGGCAAAATAATAACCAAACACACTTAGACAAATTATATAAGCTTCAGAAACGAGCAGCAAGAATTATAACAAATTCGGACTATACTGTAAGATCCTCGGACACTTTTCAAAAACTTAACTGGAAACCTCTTGACTTAAAGGCAGAGTACACCCAAACTCGCACATGCGCATTGCGTTCACAAACTAAACTTATGTCGTAAATCAAGTTTTAGGAAACAAAATGGCGTCGTTTATGGCAGTGGTGTAAATTTTAATACGGATTATATAATGATGGATTTATTCAATTTTGGGGTGAAATCAACTCGATTAAATGTAATTTTTACCCGATGTTCCAAATTATTGCAATTGACACTTGATTTGCATGAAGTGTAATCTGATATCTTGTTCAAACAACGACTCAACACAATGTGACATTGCGGCTGAGAATTGTGCTCCTTGTCGACGTTTGTATGCTTTCTGAGCAAATTGGAAAGGGACGGTGACGATAATTTTCGTCGTCCGGATGAACCTGGTTCATCTTTACGATCGGCAGAAAGCACTAGGTGGGTCTGGAAGGAAACGCCAACACGAGGAAGGCTACAAAAAGGTTTTGATGTGGAAGACAATTGCCTTACACACAATAACACAAGGTCAAAGACGTCTACAACTTGAATTTGGCTGAATTTCTTTTACAGTAGGCGAGAACGTACCACAGGATTTTAGATTACAGTAGAAATTGTCAGAACTACTTAATAGTACTTTGATAAAAACAGTACATAATTTTTAATACTTACTCTGAAGGCAGTAAACATTTATGAAATTAGTTTGTATTTCTGGAATGATCTCTTTTGAAGATGACTACAACTTATAGTCAAAACATACAACTAAACAATTTTGATTTTTGAGGATGTTTAATGTTTTCAGAATGATTATTCATTGTGCTGTATATAATTATATGGATTTCTGTCAAAGAAACTATGTGTGAAGTTTCATATAAGGATCCCAAAATGATGTCACTTGGGGTGGTGTAAGGGCTGCGTGGGGGTAAGGGTTATTTGCATGGGATTCTTATATAAAACTTCAGCCAAAATTATATCTCCACAAGCAAAGATTTACAGAGTGTGGTTTTGGCCTTGATTTAATTTTAAATTTCTCAATTTTCTTACAGCATGGATAAAGAGAGCATATATACAATTTCTATTTGTGAATGTACATATTTTATTTGTTCGGTTTCAATAACAGATAATACAAACAAAATAACCATAGTGTTCTACTAAACACCCCGACTGTCCACCCCCTTTACCCTCTAGGTCAATTAGTCACAGCTACAGTATATATCTTTATCTTTATAGCCGGTATAATATCCATTAAGTGAAGGATAATGTTTTTGAATTTTCCACACACAGCATGAGTGAATGACTTTGCGATTACCTTTTCCTAAATGGCCATGTATCCAGATGACATACTGTCAGTATGCTACATGCCTCATCACTCTATTGTCATATGTTGGTGTAAACACATAGTCATGTATAACAGTGGTCGCATTATCTGAGTCCAAGCAAATGTATTGGAATGCAAGTGCTTTACACTGACACAATCATCTCTCCTTGCAGCACACCCTCTCTCTGTCTGTTGGCATCTCTCTGCAATATCCACATACACAGAAGGGTGCATTCAACTGCTCAACTTCTTCCCTTTATGACACTGGTCATGTCGTAGCTGCTCCACCAATTGAAAACCCTCCTTTGCTACTTTGACAATGATCTCGCTATCCAAACCATCAATTATATCCTAAGTGACAAAGGAACAACTAATAGTTAGGATATATCATATAAAGTCAGTTCACAACAAATGTGTACCAATATTTCTGGACCTTGTATGGTATAGTACAACCTGTTTGAATCATAATTTGTAAACTAGCGATAATTCTGTGAATTTGAAATAATGACCTATAAATAATCGCCCATGACTATTTATAGTGAGTAACCCTAATACAAAATTGCTATTCATAAAGATTAAAGCACAGTACATAATACAACGCCTGCATTCATCAAACCTTCTGGATTGTCTATGATC